GTTGCTCAACTCTTTCTCTTCACCTCCTTCGAAGCTTCTGATTTCTTCCTCCTGACAGTCATGGCCTATGATCGATATGTTGCCATTTGCAATCCATTGCACTATGAGATGGTGATGAACTGGAAAGCCTGCACCAGAATAGTGATTCTGGTGTGGTTCACAAGTCTTCTCTATGGAATGTTGCATACCACTGGGACCTTTTCCACCCCTTTCTGTTCTAATGTTGTCAACCAGTTTTTCTGTGAAATTCCACAATTGCTAAAGCTATCCTGCTCTGGATTCAGTGAAACTGAAGTGGGATTTCTTGTGGCCAGTATTGCTGCAGAATTAGGTTGTTTTATTTTGATCATTATATCTTATACTATGATCTTCAAGGCAGTGTTGAGAATCCCTTCTGTCACAGGAAGGCAGAAGGCCTTCTCCACTTGTCTTCCCCACCTTATAGTTTTTTCCATGTTTTTGGTATCTGCATGCTTGGCTTATCTGAAACCTCCCTCTAAAACCTCGTCTTACTTAGATTTTGCATTAACTGTCCTATATTCTTTATTTCCACCCCTGTTCAATCCAATCATCTATAGCATAAGAAATAGGAGTATCAAATCTGTCCTGTCTAAATTATGGAGATTCTGATATTTTCTTTTGGTGATGTTTTCTATCCTGTTTTTCCTCACATTGAACGTACTGCATTTCTTGCCTTAGTGTTTCTGAGGAAATAAAAGATAGAAGAAATAGAAGTAGAGCCTTGCCACTCTGCACCAATGGCAGCACTTGAGAAGGTCCTGATCTACAATCCTGTATCCCTAGTTACTTATCCCGGTTTTTAAGATATTAGGAGTTGGTTTAGCAGCATGCTGGCTACCAAATTTTGACAAATGATGTTCCAGACTTCAGCTGATCTGGTGTCAGAATCAGATAAGACAATGAGCTCACAAGCCTAAAAATAAAAGTTAACATGAGCTCCTGGTTTCTGCTTAATGGAATCAGCCTGGCATTAAGAACAAAACTAAAGCAGAAATTTAGTTTGTGCAAATATCTGTAAGGATATATTTGTCATGCATTCCCAATGTCAAAGAATTTTAAGATCAAAAGGAGGGATTCAGTTTGGATATTGAATTACAGGAGTTTGTTTCATACATTACACTAAGCCATTGTTCATTTAACACTGGAGTGATGAATTAAGCACAGTTTCTAAGATATCAGTATATGAAAAGCCATGAATCAGGTTTATAAAAATATATTAAGTGGTCTAGCTAGTTCATCATCCGAACTGGACTGGCTGGATGGTTATCAGAACATGGTTCTGATAATAGAGCAAGGCTTTGATTACTTGTTCATTGTTAGAAGAATTGGAAAGCTATCTTTAATCATGATTTAAACCTGGTCTCAAAATTGTTAAAAGTAAAAAAAAGCAGACCTTCCTGCCAGACTTCATGCAGCATATGGCAATAAATTTTGACTCTTTAAACACTTAACCCCATGTCCAGAAACTTGCTTGTGGTTGAAGGTCACAGACATGAAGTGGGTAGATAATTGCCTTTTTGTAGACATTCATGTAAACACAGTCCATCTACCTTCTGCAGTACACCTAAAACTAACTTTACATAGACATCTATATTCCAAAGATGTAAGAGATAGAAGACGAGATGAGGCCATGCCATAGCTGTTGGGTGTTGTTTGGCTCTTTTTCACTCAATTTCCCCTGGGATAACAGTGGTTTAGGGAGTGGGAGGTGATCGGGTTCAGAGAAGGGAAGGGGCTGGTGGGTTGTACATAAAGTAGTGAGTGCTATATGCTAGTCCGAAGCTTCATGGTGCTCACTATCCAGTCTACTGTAAGTGTGCTAGGAGTGACTATGGATGAGGTGGGGGGTGAGATGGAAGAAGTTAAGTTTATTGGTTGGTTAGAGGGAGGCAGGAAAGTCACAGTTCTGATAGCCAATGGGAGGAATTCTGGGAGTCAAGGGCCAGGCCAGTCACAGAGAATGTGGGCCCAAAGTCATCATCCTCAATGCCCAGTCATCAAGCCTTTAGTGGTGTAATGGAATGTGAGAATGACCTCGAAAGTTGGAGGGAAGAGATGCTGCCCAGGGAATAATCAAATACAAGGGGGAGGTACCCTGAACTGAGTAACAGGCAGAGAAGGAAACTTAGAAAGGAACCTCCCTCACTGATCAGGTGGTAAATAGGGATGATGGGAGATTTGTATTTTGCAAGATTGTACTTGCAAGATTCTTTTAATGTAGCCTAACAATAAAGTAGAAGTAGATCTCATCATGTTTCCTGTCTGGTTTACCTGGGAGGGCTGACATCAATCTTGCAAGTCTCATACTCCCTTCCAAAGAAAGGAATTTCTATAATGGCATTCGATTCTCAAGGAACCCAACTATCTGCCAAGCATCTGGCAGCTGTGTTATTGAAGCACCAGCAGCAAGTAGATGCACAGATGATCAATTTCTAGAATGCCATTATACAATGAATGCAGCAACGGGGGGAGAATTTGCCTCAACTCACGGCAGCACAACAAATAGTGGCCCAACCCATGCTTCGCTGTTCCTATGGGAGCTTGCCATAGAAGGTTTGAGAGGACCAGGATCAATTCCAGACATTCATCACTCAGTGTCAAAAGTTTATGGCAGGCAGGCCAGTAGAGTTTCCTACTGATCACACCAAAGTGACTTTTGTGCTGAGTTTGCTCAAGGAAGCAGCAGCTAAGTAGGAGTATTATTCATTGAGGGAAACAATCTGGTGCTGAACAGCTATCAAGATGTTATGTGTAAACTCAAAGGACACTTTAGGAATTCCATACAGAGAATCACTGCTAGTCAAGAGATCTGGAAAGTCAAGTAGGGACAGAGGAGAGTAAGGTCATATATTTTCAACTTTAAATTGCTGGTGATGTAGTATAGAACAACTTAGCCCTGATTAACCAGTTCAGGGAATGACTGACTGATGACCTGAGCTGGTGAGACAAGGCACCCCAAGTACCCTGGAGGAACTATATCAGCATTGTGTAATTATAGGCGCCTGACTGGAAGAACTAAGGCAGGGAAGGAATGGGAAAGAAAAGAGATCCTACAGTCTATCTTCCCCCATACCACCCCTCCCAATGGCGTCCTCAGAATCCAGCACAGGAGAACCATGCAAATAAGAGCAGCCAAGAGTTTCCTGTCTTCAGGGGAAAAGCAAAGACGGGATCAGGGACTGTGCTTTTACTGTGGGGTCCCTGGACACATAGCCAGATCATGCCTGATAAAAGTACCAGCATCTGATAAAGCAATGAGATGAAGAACTTGGAAATCAACAGAGCACATAGCCAGCAAGTGCCCAGCTCGCTTCAACATAGCACACCAGGGAAACTTCACAGGCCTCCCTCCCAGGAGCTCCAAAGAGGGGCCATCCACCATTTAAGGAGAGTTCAGGCAGCTGACAAAAGGCAAGCATACTTAATTACTTCTGTTATTGCTCCTTTAGATTCCAGGCAGAAGGTGGACCTTTCTCCTCTCATCAACTCTAGGGCAACTACTAATTTCATAGATGTAGAAACAGTACAGAAAGTAAAGTTGCCAGCCCAAGCTCTAGAAAATTGAATGATAGTCAAGTTTGACTATCAAGACTATTGATGGTCAGCCACTAAGGGCAGGACCGATTCTGCAGTGCATAGTACCTTTGCAACTGACAAAGATCACACCGTTCATAACACTCTATGTAAGTGCCTCCTTGCAAATGCCCATAATCTTGGGAATAGAATAGCTTCAGCTGCACAACCCAGTTATAAGTTGGGATCAAGGGTCACTCTCATTTCCTGGTCCTAAGTGCCAACAACATTGCTTACAAGAAGTGAAAGCTTGCCCAACCCCCACTCCATTGTAGGATAAGAGAGGATCAGCACTGCCAGAAAAATATGCAGATTATGCAGATGTGTTCAGGGAGAAAGAGGCAGCTGTCTTACCCCTGTACTGGGCGTGTGATTGCACCAACAATTTGAAGCCCGGGGCCCAAATCCTAGCAAAGAGACTGTATCCCATGTCTAGTTAGCCATCCTCAAGGAATATCTGGATGTCAACATCAAAAAAGGAATTACTTGCCCTTCACCCACATCAGCACTCATGTTCTTTGAGAAGAAGAAGAAGAAGAAGAAGAAGAAGAAGAAGAAGAAGAAGAAGAAGAAGAAGAAGAAGAAGAAGAAGAAGAAGAAGAAGAAGAAGAAGAAACAGCAGCCATGCTGAAGACAAAGGGGGGAGCCCACATGTGTACTGTTCATGACTACAAAGACCTGAACAGAATGACAATGAGAGACCATTATCCACTCCTACTTATCTCCAATCTACTAGACTGGCTACAAAAGGCAAAAAATCTTTCCCAAACTAGACTTAAGGAGTGTATACAACCTAATCAGAATGAAAGAAGGGCATGAGCCTTTGATACAAGATATCAAAAGTGTGAATACACAGTGATACCTTTCGGCCTGGTTTAGTGTGGAGCTGTTTTTTCTAAACTCATGAACCAAATATTTGTGGACATTTTAGGTAAATATGTAGTCATATAGTTGGATGACGTATTAGTTTATTTGAAAGATCCCTTCTTGCATGTAACCCATGTCAAAAATGCATTGCAAAAAGTATAGGACAACAAGCTCTTTGCTAAACTAGAAAAATGCACATTTGATCTGTACCAACTGGACTATTTGGGTTACAGAATCTCCAAAGAAGGCATACAGATGAATCCAGCAAAGATACAGGCTATTCTGTCATGGTCCACACACACACACACCATAACTCAAAAGATGTGGAGTGCTTTCTGGGCTTTGCTAACTTCTACATCCCTAATTTTGCTGAGCTTGTGAAACTACTATTCCAGCTCCTAAGAAAGGGTTGGCAATGGTCAACCCAAGAGGAAGCGGTGTTTCAACAGTTAAAGCAGCTCTCTGCTTCTCAACCCCTCCTCTGCCACCTTGACCCCTCCCTCCCCTTTAAAATGCATACAGACACCTCAGATGTGGCAGTTGGAGTGGTTCAATTCCAGGCAGAGAAGTTGGGGGGCAGATTTACTCACATGTGCCCTTTACTCCAGAGTGCTCCTCCCAGCAGAAAGGAACTATGGCATTTTCAATAAAGAGTTACTAGAAGTAAAAAAATGCCTTTCAACAATGGAGACACACACTGGAAGGAGCAGCACACCCCATACAAGTACATGTAGACCACAACAATTTAGAGATTCTGCAAAACACCCAATCTCTCACCCCTCGGCAAATCAGGTGGGCACAATTTTTCTCCCACTTTTACATCTCATACATCCCAGGCTCCCAGAACAAGCTTTCGGAAACCTTCTCAAGCAAGTCAGAGTACAAGGTTCCCCAGTCACCCTGCCCCCACCCCCAAGCAACAATACTGCAGCCATGCAACTTTGAGTCACACTGAAAATCAGACCAACACAAAAGTCTGGGAGCAGGAAGACAAGCTGTTGATCGCTTTGATCAGCAGCAGAATGCATATACCACAGCCCAGATGAATGACCTTCAGGGAGCCCAACAAGATTCTGTTTCACCTTTCATAGTGGAGGGAAGGCAGCTGTTGCACAATGGACAATGTTTGTTTCTCTTCCCCTAAGGGAGGAAGTACTACAGCTATGCCA